ATTATTAGTCTCAAAGTGGGTTTCTCGTCATCGAAAATGCAATTGCTGTCTATTCAAATAAGTTTCATCTTACGGAATAGTTTAATATCAGGTTTAAATTGATTATATTATTTAATAAACTTTTCTCATTTTGAAACTTCTGCTTAACAGTTTAATATTTTTCTTACTTTCAAAATTGAGATCTTGTCCCTTATTATTGAGTAAAAGGCTACTCAAATATATATATATTTAATGGTTTAAAAGCAAATTTGTTAGTTGAAAAGGTGTACTCGAGAGTGCGCATCATATTCTTATGGAGTTTGATATTTCGTTAGTCTTAACCAGAATTTTTCGCGGTGAGTAGACGAAGGGGGGATATATAATATATTGACGCACTAATGTAACTATGATATACCACTAGTTCTAATTATTTCGAGCAAAACACCTTTGAAATTCGGTCGTATTATTCATTCACGTTTTTGAGAGTAGCCATTTTGTATAACGAACTGAATAACAATTTAACACTAACACAGTAATACTCAATAACATTAACAGCGCTTGTTTCATCATGCTGTTTTTAGTTGGAAAGTTTTATTGTTACTACTGTTAGTGTTAGACCAAACAGTAACAAGACTAAAAAGTAAATAACTATACCTGTAATTTGGTGTTATTATTAAATTACTTTTGGACTAGCACAATTGATAAAAGTATATAACAAATTACATTGTTATAATATTAGTTGTTTTTCTGTTATCCTATTCGTGATTTATTATTACTTAGATTCAGCATAAAAGTTAAAACTATGAAATATAATTGCCTTCATTCAAATTGTTGGCATTGTCATCATTATGATAAATTTATATTATAGTATAATAATTTAGCGATTTGCCTCAAAACTGGAGAACGTGTAATAATTGTCAATTTTTTTAACTAATGTGCTAATCATGTACTACATATTAACGAAGTCACAATTACTAATTAGTAAGTTACTAACAATAACAGTTTAAGACTGATGTGGTCATTAAAAGGTTCATGTATTTGAATTTTTTCTGATGCACTTACAATTATTTCATGCATGTTTTTACCTCACCTTTTACACTTTACACTGTCAGGGTAGAGTTATACTTATAGTGTGCAGTTATGTTTTTATTTTTTGGAAAAGTTGTGTCATATTTCCTCTCCAGTTTACTTAACATATATATGGCACAAATAAATATTCTAATTAATTTGTTATAAAATATAATAAATAGTGGATTCTACTGCATGTTGTATCAGATTAAGACCAAAGTGGTACTGATGCATGTAGGATCAGATTAAGACCACAGTGGTACTGATGCATGTAGGATCAGATTAAGACCACAGTGGTGCTAATGTGTGTAGGATCAGATTAAGACCACAGTGGTGTTAATGCATGTAGGATCAGATTAAGACCACAGTGGTACTGATGTGTGTAGGATCAGATTAAGGTCATAGTAGTACTAATGTGTGTATGATCAGATTAAGACCACAGTGGTACTGATGCATGTAGGATCAGATTAAGACCACAGTCGTGCTAATGTGTGTAGGATCAGATTAAGACCACAGTGGTGTTAATGTGTGTAGGATCAGATTAAGACCACAGTGGTGCTAATGTGTGTAGGATCAGATTAAGACCACAGTGGTGCTAATGTGTGTAGGATCAGATTAAGACCACAGTGGTGCTAATGTGTGTAGGATCAGATTAAGACTACAGTAGTGCTAATGTGTGTAGGATCAAATTAAGACCACAGTGGTGCTAATGTGTGTAGGATCAGATTAAGACCACAGTGGTGTTAATGTGTGTAGGATCAGATTAAGACCACAGTGGTGTTAATGTGTGTAGGATTAGATTAAGACCACAGTGGTACTAATGTGTGTTGGATCAGATTAAGACCACAGTGGTACTAATGCATGTAAGATCACAGTGGTACTGATGTGTGTAGGATCAAATTAAGACCACAGTGGTACTAATGTGTGTTGGATCAGATTAAGACCACAGTGGTACTAATGCATATAAGATCACAGTAGTACTGATGTGTATGGGATCATATTAAGACCACAGTGGTACCAATGAGCATAGCATCAGATTAAGACTGCAGTGGGCTCGTATGCTACTTAAATTAGAACTGAAAAACTCTCTCTCTTTTTTTTTTTGCATTCAACTTTTACCTACCAAAACAACCTTTTATTAAATATAGTTATTTTAAAATACTACAATTTCCAACTTAACTATTATCTGAAAATACTGTTTTTAAAACATAAAAGTATGACTACTGTAGACCCCTTGGCATTGTGGAGTAAGAGGCAGTTTTTGGTTAATCTGATCCTTTATGCATGTTAAGTAAGTTTTTAATGGATTTACAAGTGTTATTGTGTTAATGTTAGTTTAAACTACTCTAGAAATCCTGTGATGGAAAGCTACAGAACTTCAAGTAGATAGCATTCTAAACCAAGTTATTTACAAACCCGAAGCAGATATATTAACAAGAGCAGGGAATGTCTTCCATGAAACGAGGACCAAACAAACCAAAGGGTAAATAAACCAATTTATAAAACCTTTGATTTGTATGATTTTATTGCTTTAATTGAGATGTATCTTAAAATTTTTTTAAGCATTTTCAGTGTGAACACAAATGATTTATAAAATTGATAAAGACTAGCCTTCAACTTAATCTAGTTCACATCATAACAGTTTATGTTTATGCAATTTGTTAGTGTAGATAACTTTTCAACCACTAATACTGATCTCTGATTTTTTTAGAATTTTCATGAAATGGAGATGATTTGATTATTTCATTAAAACTCAGATGAAATGTATATTCATTCTTACCATTTACTTAATGCTAGTTGAATAAATATATATATTTTAAATTTGTTGATATCATGAGCTCAACATGAATTATGTTGTTTTTTCAGCCCTATATCCCTCAGGTGACTTCATTGCCTTGGGTGAGTTTCCAGCTTAGGACTTTTGCTTTTGTTATGTTATTTTGTTTTTATTTCATTCTTTTAGTAACTAATTTTTTTTTATAAATCTTTTAACAACTTATTTTTATTCTTCTCTTTTTCCTTTTATTTATATTAATTTGTACATACAGAATGAATTCTCTTTTGCCATGTTCCACACTTTGTTGGTTCAATTTTTTCTGTGATGTCCCAGATATTGAAATTAAATATCTTAATAGATATTGGCCCTATTGTAAGTATATTTTATTTCTAAACATTTGGATACAATGACACTTGTATAAATTATGTTTTCTTGTGAAACAGTGTATGTTTCAATAACAATAAACATCATGGTTTAATAAAACTGATGCACATTAACGTATTTCTTGTATATATGGTTCCTATGGTATTAGACTAGCTTACATAAATTCAAGTATCTTAATTTCTAGACTGGTCTAATTGTATGCTCATAGTTTGAGTTTGTTCATGTGAATTTGTGCTGCCAATTTCTTACAGTTGTTTTGAATATAGGTAACTTGTAATATTTTAACATCTCATATTTGGTTAACTAAAATATGGGACTGAAAATGCAGAGATGACTGCTTACACATAATTTTGCACCCTGCAACATTAGGGTATAGCTTTAAAAAAAAAAAAGTTGAGTTTTTATTTCTTTTACAGGTTCTAAAACCTCCAGAACACTAGACATTGGAGAGAGCAAGTCAGCACCTAAGTCACCACTATCTGCAAGTGGTTCTGGAGTTGAACGAAAAAGAGATGGAAGCTCAAGTGGAGGACCTTCAACTTCTCTTCCTTCCAAGAAGCCAAAACTTAGTGGAGCTACTGCATTTACACCAATTGGAAGAGTTGGAACTCAGCTGAAGAAAGAAGTTGGTAAACAAGGCCAGTGGGATTCCACAGCTGTAGAAGGTAAATAGTGACTGTAGAGCCATTAGTTTTGGTTTTAACTACTAAAAGAAATTATATCTTTATTTTACAGTGACTGTAGAGTCATTAGTTTTGGTCTTAACTACTAAAAGATGTTATCTCTATTATTTACAGTGACTGTAGCATCATTAATTTTGGTCTTAACTACTAAAAGAAGTTATCTATTATTTACAGTGACCATAGATTAATTAGTTTGGTTTTAACTACAAAAACAAGTTATTTATATTTTTTAGAGGTACAGAGAATCCATTGTTAAATAAAGATTATTTTATTTTAATATAAATAATTCTTTGTTTTACAATCTTTTTATTCAATAGGTATTTTAAAATATGGTTAATTTTGCCATTAATATCTTGTGTGTCATTTGAATATTTGTTTTCTTGTATCTGAAATATTGAAACATGTTTACTGTGATAGTTCCAGCCTCTGAACTCCTTACCAAAGTTTTGGAAGCAGAAGATTCCAATGATGATGAGAGGGCTGAGAGTCTTCTGTGTGGAGCTGTAAAACAACTGAAGTCCACTCGAACAAAGCCTGAACCAACACTCTACTTGAGTCTGATGTATTTAGCTAAAACAAGACCCCTTATGTTTTGTACTGACATTGTTATGGAAGTGAGTAGAATAAATATTTCATATATGGATAATGTCAAGATCCTCATTTTTTCTTTAATATTGTCTTGAAGAATGACTTTAAAAATATTTACATGAAATTCATGTGGAGGATTAATTAGTGAAGGTGTTTCTTGATTTTCAAATATCAATTTGATTGTTTGTATAGATTTTTAACACATCTAGTTAAAACCATGTGTCACGTCCATGGAAATGTTTAAAGGGATTTCCACGAATATTAATTGCACTGATAGGTTCTTCTGAGCTTTGTTAAAAAAATTAACTATTCATTGTCCTGCTTAAAAGCTCTTATTAACCTTATGTGCACAGGTGGGAGTCAAAGTGTGCAAGCCATGACTTTTTACAGAGTGCCCTTTAATATGATATCATGTATTTGATGTCAGGGTTATCAACTATTCATTTTACCCTACATTACTGATTTAATGACAGTTCGTGGTAGAGGAGAGTCAATACCAGATACTGGAAATAACTATAGATATTCATTTCAGAAGTTCTAGAGTTTATGTAAGTACAATATGCAAACTATATGATGGACAAAAGTATTTTTATTCTTCACATCAATATCACCTTGCACTCTACTTGTTAGAGTCAGACTGAATTTGTCAATTCACAGATGTATTTAGAGAACAAGTACCTTTGTAACTCACCTGATTTTTTATGTAGAACAGACTTGTACATTTTACTTAAAGCTTGCTACATTTTGTGTATACACATAGTAAATTTGGAACTTTAGACAGTATTCCTTCTCCAGTACAGGGTTAGTCAAATAGAACGAGCCTGGGCACAATGGGTTAATGTTGTTAATTATTCATAACCCTTGTTTGTTAGTCTACACGTCCAACTCCATATTCCTGTTTGATAGTAATAGATTAAATTTCTCAAACTTTTTTTTAAGGTATTGGTAAAAAATCAGCTTTCTCAGAAATAATTTACATTTTGCTTTATGTCTTTAAGCTAGTACGAGTTTAAGTTACCTGAATCTCTAATGAAATAGAATGTAAAGGTTTATTTATTTATTTATTCCAATGTAGATAGCATGAGTTCAGGTACATATATAAGAGATTAGTAAGAAAATCTTAATAAGTTTGTTGTGTTAATACATAACAGTCTGAGCAGTATTTTATTATTTTGGAACTTGAGATTTAATGTTTGAATAGTTGGAATAATTGTTATGCAACATGATCAAGGATATCTTATTTTACAAATGACCATTCTTACTCTATCTAGTAAGATGTTATCACTGTTCCATGATGTATATAATTTTGTCTTAGGCTTTTTGTAGCTTATTGAAACGGGATGTGTCGGTGAATTACAAAACAACAAAAGGGAACAGTATGTGGGCTGTTCTGGTTGCAAACATATTACTAGCTGCTTATCATGATGAAGAGAGTTGGCCGGAACTGTTTGTTAAGGTAGGACTTTAGGTTGACATAAAGTTAATTAAATACTTCAAAATTAACTTTTTTGCTTTGAATTAGTATGATTCAAGCTCACTCTTACAAAATAATTGTTTGAATTTATAAATGTCTAGTTGCAGCAATTCCTTTAGATAATTATAATTTAATAGTGTATTCATTTGGTTCATGGAAAATATTTGAAAGTTTAAGAAAAATGATTTCTTTTCTTTGTCCTGGTTTTTAGTTTTAGAACTTGTATAGTTGTAGAAGAACCATTGTGATGGTTTGGTTTTCCACCACTTGCAAGTGGCAGAATTTAAAGGGTGGGCAAAAAAAACCTGATACTAGAATGTTTCAAGTAATTTTCACCTGTTAGTCGCTTGCTGATTCTGCCTTCAATCTTATGTAGTTACTTGCTGTTTTTGCCTTCAATTTGATATAGTTGCTTGTTGGTTTTGCCTTTAAACTTATGTAGTCACTTGCTAGTTTTGCCTTCAAACTTATGTAGTCACTTGGTGGTTTTGCTTTCAAACTTATTTAGTCACTTGCTATTTTTGCCTTCAATCTAACATAGTTGCTTGCTGGTTCTGCCTTTAATCATATGGGTGTGGCTATAGCCATATTTTTTCAACACAATATGAAACTTATTTGCTGGTTTTTTCTCAGGTTTATGTGATCCTTAGGACAATCAAACCATAGCTAACAAGAAAATTAGAAGATTATTTGACAGTAACTCTAGCTGTAAAAATATTCAAAAATTATAGTTTGGTATTTGGATTTCTTGCTGTATCTTTCTAAAGCATCTCTGTTGCATGAATAGTAATGATATCTTCCTATATTGTGAGTGATCAGGGGAAATTTGATACACTAGGCTGTTATAAGGTCTCAAACCAGAATCTATTCCCTGTTTACAAAGTTACCAGACCTATAAATACAAGATAGGGTATTGAATAATGAACAGGGGATAATATTCTTACAAAACAAATTGTCACTGATATATTAGTTTGTCATTTAAAGCTTGATTTAATAAAGAAAGATTTATTTGTTGCACAATGTTTATTAATTAAACTGTTTCAACTTCATCATTTGCTGCTGAAACAGGAGCCATCATATTCATCATTTGGACATCTGTAGATTCATGAAATTAAAGCAACTAAACAAATTTTGAATGAAACCATGAAACTGACTAACATACAAACTTATGTTTTAATTAATGAGGAAAATAACATAGAAATATAGGTTTTAATCAACCAGGAAACTGATTAACATTGAATTCTAGGTTTGATTCATTAGGAAATCAGTATAAACATTTTAAGTCTACACTTGAAGAAATATTATTTAAAAAGTAGTTTACTATTTTAAAACTGTCTTTTTATAATGTGTCAGTTACCACCTTCTGTCGCTGGTGAGCCACCTACATCAATTTAACTAAATTAAGTCAAAACTAGTTGATCACCAGCATCACTTGAAGCTTAGAAGATATGACTAATATAATTGGTTACAGCTCACAAAGTGTCAATATTTTTATCCTTGTGTTACCAATGACAGGGATTAAACCATGTGATCCCAAAAGTTACCCATTTAAAAAACAAATGATTTTTTTTCTCTAAGTAAACATGTTATTTTGAAATAAATACGAGTTTTTAGAGATAAATATATTTCCTAACACACTAAATTGTATTTGTAATAATTTATTTTAACTTTATTTCATTTTGATGACTGTTGTTTTCAAATAAAAAGTAAGTTAAAAGTTAGATGATTAATTAAAATTTGACATGTTAACTTAGGTTTTTGTTGAAGATTCTCTTGGGGAACGAGTATGGGTAGACCATGAGGACTGTAAAGGGTTTGTTGACAACATCTTAATGGCTTTTAAGACAAAAATTCCTCCTAAGAGCATGATGGCACCTGAATTGACTTTCAAGCCTGATGCATGTATGTATCATTGTGTGTTGTTTTTTAATGTATTTGCAAATTATGTTATTAATTGTTACAAAATATCTTTAAATTATAATTAATAATTAATTTATTCCCTTCATCTGAATTTGCGATTCGAATAACCAACATTTTTTGTAGTGAAGACTGCTAAAGTTTAGAAATTTGACTTTTTACACGAACTTTGTTGGGTTTGAAGATAATACACATAACATTGTTCTGAACTTGATGCTTAGTTTTTACCTTAATCCTTTCAAGACAGGTCACGGGTGAAAGGCCATGTCATCTCGTTTATTGACTTGCATTCAAAGTTTTATTGAACTATTATTTCATG